CTGGAATTTTATTAAAGACATGGAGGCTCCTATTATGCTAGTTCAAAGCTGTGAAATCACAGCTTCTGCAAAATGTTGGATTGGTGTAAAGTAGAAATTACAGAAAGTAGACTCCGAGGACCAATCAGCCGCTTTTAATATCCTCCAAACCACAGCCAGCAAAGGAGGCTTTAGAAGCCATAGCATTGCAAATCGAATAAGGAGAAAAAATTGAAATATCAGTACCTGCCATTTGAGCCATTTGACCCAACGAGCCAAGGTAGGGGAGCATACCAGAGCATGCGGGTTACGGAAGGAAATAAAAAGTTGGGGGTCTGATCCTGTCTGAAGGGGGGCGGTACGTGCTTCGTAAACACGTAGACACGCCACCGGACAGAGCTGTGGTTTCATGGAAAAAGCTGGGTATTAGACCGACTGGGAATGCGATTTTGTCCTCTGTGAAATGTCAAAAACTCGACATCGAGTGCCCTAACTTCTGATACTCTTTTGCATGAAATCAAACAAAACAGCATAACCGGTTTAGCCGAGATTTGTTTCAGGGATAAAGACTCATTGTCTGGCCAATCTGTAAGAAACTTTAGCACCGGAAAAATGTCCCATAAGGAGGAATAGCGAGGCAGAGGCAGCCTTGAGAAATGAATGCCGCGGAGAAGACGACAGACAAATGGGTGACGTCCAATCGGGGCACCGTCAATACCGGCATAGCCAGCTGAAATAGCTGAGCGGTAGAGGTTTACCGTCCAATATGCTTTTCCGTTATCATAAACGAAAGTCAAAAGTTGGAGGACAGTCCTCACAGGAGTTGATAGGGGATCCACACCCCGTGCCACGCACCAATCATGTGCGCCAAGCAGACTTGTAAGACTGTCTCGTGTCGGGTGCCCTTGCACCCTCGATAAGTCTAAGAGTCGATTGCGAAACTCCCTTGATCGACCAGGGACCCTGGAAATTAGCCACGACATGAGGCGGAAGAGGCCCTGGAGGATCAATGGATAGAGGGTCCTGTCCGGGTCCCATAGGAGAGATTGGGAGTCCGGGAGAAGCCAGGGACGATCTATAGCCATCTCCAGTAGAGGAAGGGAACCAAGGTTGCGACAGCCAAAGGGGGGTTACTATCACTAGACAACCTGATTGGCGTCGCAGATGGAGGAGGCAACGAGGGATGAGGGCATGTATAACTCCTGGCGATGGACCAGTCCTGGGAGAATGCACTCGTAGCCAATGCCACAGGGTCCGGAAAAAGTTCGGAAGCTGGGCTGCCAATGAACTTTTGGCAAACTTATTGCTAAATGACCCCCTAGATCCCAAATGCAGTGGAAGATTTGGGGATCGAGGTACCAGTCGCTGGAATCTCGCAGGTGGCGGGAGTACCAATCCACTGTAATGTTGGACAACCCTTGTATATTTTCAGCTCTGACAGCAATATTGTGCTGAAGACAAAACTACCAAAAGTCTCGGGCCAAATTCGCCAAGACTTTGGATCTTGTGCCTCCTAGATGATTGATATAACAGACAGCTGAGATGTTGTCCATTTTCAATAGGATTGAACACTGGGACAGGGTCAGGGAGCAGTGGCATCTCTAGGATTCATTTTTAGGGGGGGGCACACGGAGGGCCAGGGACAAAAGTAGGGGGGCACATTTAACCCCGCCCTCGCCGCAGTTTGACTCCGTCCCTGTCGCATGTTAAGCCCCGCCCCCGACACAATGTGTTTTGTTTTTTTAATAATCCCTGGTGGAGGATTCATTATTTTCCACCAGGGATTATTAAAAAAAAAAAACACATTACCCTTGATACAGTGCCATAGTTGCCAACATTTGAAAAAAATTCCAAGGACATTTTACAGCACAGCTATCAATTACTGTCTGGGTATAATATCCCTGGACAGTCAGTGCTCTCTGTATAATACAGGGTTGTGTGTATAATACATTGGGACACTCCGTGCTCCCTGTATATTGCTGCTCTCTGTATAATACAGGTCTGTTTGTGTATAATATCCCAAGACAGAGAGCAGCACTAAACAGGACTGACTGTCCCGGGATATTATACAGGCACAGGCCTGTATTATATAGAGAGCAGCACTATACAGGAAGCACTGACTATCCCGGGATATTATATACACACAGATCTGTATTATACAGATAGCTGAGCATATACCCCATGTCCCAATCTCTAGACTACTAGTACCTGTCAACAGCAGCTCCCAGACGCGTGTAACAGGGCTAAAGTGTGCGGCAGCTCACACAGACGATTCAGCGGTAAAGTGCACTCGCTGGCAGAGCCAAACTGGGAATCCCTGGGAATCCAAAGCAGCCCTGGAAAAAAAAATGTATGCCATTCCTACAAATCAATATATATATATATATAGAACATAATAATGGCACTCACCCTTGCTTCAAAGAAGTAATAGTCACTGTGCCCTGGTGCAGACCTATGCTGATAAATAGTATAGTTGAAAAAGGATGCACTCAGAGGTCTTTTAAGAAAAAATATAGTTTTATTTAATCCATATAAGGTTTACAAATGACTTGATCTAGTCATTTGTAAACCTTATATGGATTAAATAACACTATATTTTTTCTTAAAAGACCTCTGAGTGCATCCTTTTTCAACTATACTATATATATATATATATATATATTACAGTAAGCACACAAGCTCACTGACATGCGCAAATAGGCTTACTGACAGACAAACCTCTCTGACTCACACACAAGCTTACTACAGACAAACTCACTTGTATAAACAGAAGGCTCACTACAAAGAAGTTCAGGGACACACACAAGCTCACTAAAGACAAGCTCACTGACACACACATGCTCACTAAATAGAAGCTCACTGACACACACAAGCAGTACCATTTTAACAGAGTTAAGGGCCCCTGGGCAAAGCAATGCACTGGGGCCCTTCCTACACAACAACTCACAGGAATTTTAATTATTGATAGACTGCGGAGTCCATACACACACACAGACTGCTGAGTCACACACACACACACAGACTGCTGAGTCCATACACACACACACACAAACACACAGACTGCTGAGTCCATACACACACACAGACTCTGCTGAGTCCGTACACACACAGAGACTCTGCTGAATCCATACACACACACACACAGACTGCGGAGTCCATACACACAGACTGCTGAGTCCATACACACACACACAGACTGCTGAGTCCATACACACAGACTGTTGAGTCCATACACACAGACTGTTGAGTCCATACACACACACACAGACTGCTGAGTCCATACACACACACACACACTGCTGAGTAAATACACACACACAGACTGCTGAGTCCATACACACACACACAGACTGCTGAGTAAATACACACTCACAGACACACACACAGACTGTTGAGTTCATACACACACACACAGACTGCTGAGTAAATACACACTCACAGACACACACACAGACTGTTGAGTTCATACACACACACACAGACTGCTGAGCAGTGGCTGATCCAGAGCCTGATCTCGGGAGGGGCACTTGTAGATTATTTAAAGAAATAATCCAGACACAATAACCACTACAGCTCAGTGTAGTGGTTATGGTGTCAATAGTGCCCGGACCCCCTCCCAGAGTAAGTAGTCAAAACATTTAAGAACAGTTTGACAACTTACCTGAGGTCTGCTGGGAAATGGGGCTGTAGTAGGGCATAGGAGCAGTGGTGTGTGTGAGTGGTGCAATGTGTAAGGGGTGCAGTGTGTGTGTGTGTGTGTGGGGGACAGTGTGTGAGCAGTGCGTGTATTTGAAGGTTGTAGTGTGTGAGTGAGGGCGCAAGTGTATGTCAGGGATGCAGTGTATGTGTGGGACAGTATTTGTGTGTAACAATTGCAGTGTGTGTGTGAGTATTGCAGTGTATGTGTGAGCGTGGGCAATGTGTGTGTATGGGGCGGCAGTGTATGGGAGCAGTGTGTGAATGGGGATAGTGTATATGTGTAGAGTGTGTGTGTATGGGGGAGCAGTACGTGTGTATGGGGGAGCAGTGTGTGTGTATGGGGGAGCAGTATGTGTGTATGGGGCAGTGTGTGTGTATGGGGCAGTGTGTGTATGGGGACAGTATGTGTATGGGGGGGGCAGCAGTGTGAGTGTGGAGGAGTGTGTGTATGGGGGGGCAGTGTGTGTATGGGGGTGGCAGTATGGGGGCAATGTTTGTGTGTATGGGGGCAGTGTGTGTGTGGCTAAAGGTGCATGGGGGGCAATGTGTGTGTGTGTGGAGGCAGTGTGTGTGTATGATGGCAGTGTGTGTGTATAAAGTACATATGGGGGCATTGTGTGTGTGTGTATGGGGCAGTGTGTTTATGGGGAGCAGTGTGTGTATGGGGCAGGTGTGTATGGGGGCAGTGTGTGTATGGGGGGGGCAGTGTGTGTGTATGGGAGGCAGTGTGTGCGTATGGGGCAATGTGTGTGTATGGGGGTGCAGTGTGTGTGTATGGGGGGCAGTGTGTGTGTATGGGGGGCAATGTGTGTGCAGAGTGTGTGAGTCCATACACCCCCCCCCGAGTCCATACACACCCCCCCCTCCCGCCTACCTGTCACTGGAGGCTGTTGCTGGGGGTCAGGCAGCCATCTTCTGCAGCAGCATGGTCTGCTGCTTTACGGTGGGGCTTATGTGCGGGAGGCGGGGCTTCGGTTGGGGGCGGGGCCTGTGCCGGGGGGCCTGTCAGTGTTCCCTCCAGCCACAGACAGCCCCAAGCACCTCAGTCCTGCATTCCCTCGGGTTGTAACAGACACACACACTGTTACAGCCCGAGGGAATATAATTGAAGCCCATGGCCAGCAAGTTGCTGGCATTTGGGGGGGCCCAAGGGGGGGCACAGCATGATGTAGCGGGGGCCATGGCCCCCCCCAGCGACGCCACTGTCAGGGAGAGGCTGCAAATTGCAAAGGATCCCACTAGGAGTTCTAGGCAATTTATATGCAACATTTACTCCAGTTCCGACCATCTTCCGCCTGTGGAGACATCTCCGCAATGCACACCCCATCCTTAAGAACTTGCATCTGATTCTATGACTACATCTGGAGCCCTGCCATTCCACGCCTCCATTTGTAGGAGCCACCAGTGGAGTTCCTCTTTCGCGTCTAGTGTCACGATATCCTTGTATGAGACGCCGCCCCTGAGGTATGACGCCTGTAGGCGTTGGAGGGCTCTGTAGTGAAGAGGGCCCGGAAATATGTCTTGTATGGAGGCAGCCAGGAGCCCGATCACGCCGGCCAGATGCTTGAGAGGGAATTGTGAAGTGGCAAGAGTACACCGTATCTCCTTTTTGATGTTCCTCAGTTTCGACATTGGTAGGTATAGAGTTTGCAGGGACGAGTCGACTAGAAGTCCCAGAAACTCTATCCGTTGAGTAGGAATGAGTATGGACTTTTCCCAATTTATAATGAAGCCCAGATTTTGCAATAAGGTTGTGGTCCAACCGAGATGAGTATGAAGTAGAGGGACCAACTGGGATAACAGCAAGATAGCGTCTAAATAAATAATAAGACGGATCCCACATCTGCGGTGGAGAGCGATAACGGGCTTCATGAGCTCGGTGAAGCACCATGGAGTGGAAGAGAGACCAAAGGGTAGGCAGCGGAACCGCCATTTCCTTCCTTGCCACGTGAATTGCCGGAAATCTTGATGAACGTCTGCAACGGGCACCATGAGGTAGGCATCCCTTAGGTCGAGTTGACCATCCAATCTGATGGTTGGAGTAAATGTCTTAGGCAATGAATGCCTTCCATCTTGAAATGATGGTAAGTTACATAAGTATTTAATTGTTTCAAATTGATTACAGGGCGGATTCCGCCTCCTTTCTTGGGGACAAGAAACAAATTGCTCACGAAACCCGGGGTTTGCATTGAGACTTCTTGGATACCACCTTTGTATGCCAATTCTTGTACTTCCGCGGAAACAAGGGTCATGTCTAGTGGGGAAAAAAACAATCTCCCTGGGTGGAGAAAGTTGTGTAGGAAGGGACACAAAATCTATTAGATACCCATTGACTGCCCTGAGTACCCAAGCATCTAATGTAATAAGAGCCCAGACATGGGAAAAATGGGTGAGTCTGCCCCCTACTACAAACAGGGAAGAAGATTGAGTGAAACAGCTTACCGTAAGGACGTCGTCCTGAAGGAGCACCTCTTGACATCCAGGGTTTGCCTCATTGAGGGAAGAAGGTGGTTCTCCCCATGTAGGAGCCTCAGTTCGGGCGTGATCCTCCACTAACTCTGCTGGACAGACGGCCCCTTGTTCTGCCGGCCCCAGCAAAAACCTTTGGGTGAAACACCTTTTTCATATTTGACTGTGCCTTGTCTAAGGCTGTAAATGTTTGGACATAGGAGCCCAGGTCTTTAACAAAAGACTCACCAAGCAGGAAACCTTTCGCTTGAGCACCTGGCTCTGCAATTGCCAAATTAATAAGTTTAGATTCGATCTTTAAGAGGATTGACTTAGGGTGCTCTGTGGCAAGTGCAGTGTTAGCATTGCCAATCAAGCATAATACCCTCTGGATCCAGCCTCTAATTGTGAGACAATCTAATACATCGTCTTGAGCCAAGGATTCTTCCACGGCTGCAAAGATCTTGGTCGCTGGATCCAAAATATCTAAGACTTTATCCTGGCAGTTGTAAAGGGAAAAATCCAAACCCTTTTTAGGTTTCCACCCCGTTTTGCCCAAGAATTGTATAATTTTGGGGTCGACTTGGGGAGTCTTGCAGACAGCAGTGGGGAGTGAGCATTTAGCCAATTTATTTCGGGACGCCTTATCAAGAGGCTTGCGGACCCGGGACACGACATAGCACGCCAAATGCTTGGCCAGTGACCATTCAGCCGAGCGGGGATGATGTAAGTCATCAGGCTCAAATAAAGGCTCACCCTGCGGGTCAAGTATTTTACCATCCTTAGATGGCAGAAGTTCCAGTGGCAATCACATCAGTAGAGGGAATATGATTGTAACAGTTTACCAGGAGTTGGAGCCCATAACAGATTTGGAGGAGTGCTAATAATGTCCATGGCAGATGCCAGGGCTTTTGACACAGATTTAGAGACAGTAGTGTCCATAAGAGCCTGAATTTCCTCAGATGCTGGGAAATCGGCTTCATCCCCAGAAACCAGAGGGGGAAAACTAGGGGAGATTGGGGATCAGTTTGTGCCCCAGAGGGCCCAGGCAAATTGTTAAATAATTGCATAGTAAAAACAATGTAGAAGCAAATTGCAAAAACAATTTATTATATGAAAAGCTTTTGAAAACAGGGTTAAGTAACCCACAGAAATAAAATTGCCAAGTACAAGTACTCACAATTCACTTAATAAAAGGAAGGGGGATTGCAGTAAACAGGGAACTGTCCGCCACTAACTAATCCTGGACACCAACTCCGACTGGGGGGAAGGAGGAGGCGGTCCAGAGAAAAAAAGGCGGGGGACAAAATCTCTAAAAATGGCTGTCGCGAGGTGAAGAAATAAAAAGTCAGCTGATGGTTCGAGAACCGAATGCATTACCAACGCGAACCGCGCTATGGGAACCTGGGGCCAAACGAAAAAGAATGCGGCCAAATGCGCTCTCAAAATTTGATCTGAACCGAAAAATGCCTGCCAGAGGCTCCTGACGGAATGCGCACGCGCGGCTCAGCGGGAATGACCCAGATAGCTCAGACAACGGAAAAAACAAGAAGGCAAAACAAATAGATGAGAGAGGTAGAGAAAAGCCTCCCCAGGACTTATAAGGTCCCAAGGGACAATAAAGAGGGGAAAAAAATCCCAATAGGGAAAATGAAACAGCAATTCTTAAAGGGAAATCACAGTGACATAATCCAATGAAATAAGGTATAAAAAAATAACAATATTAAAAAAACAGCACCCAGAGGTACCAGTCACCACAATTAATAAGTCATAAATACAATAACATAACATACAATAATCACAATAAAGAAGATCCCACAGAAAACTGTGAGAGTTCTACTTAACTTAGGGAGCAGCAAAGAAAGAGGAAGTGGTCATTGATGTTCCGCTAACTGTCAGAATAAGGATGTCGCTGATTGCATGTTCATGTTACTAGGCGGATATTGTCATTATGATGTTTATACCTGTTTTGTTTTTTTCCAATATGTTATTTCTTTGCTACTGATGGAATTAAAGAAAGAGTGCAGCATAATAGGAGCCTCCATGTCTAGGAGCCTCTCCTGAAATCAAAACAGTGCTCTTTTTTCTCTTCTTGCCTGATTGTCCCCTTCACTTAAAAAATATTCTCAACTGCTAGGCAGTGTTTAATTAATCACTTTCTCTGAGCTTTTTGATGGTCATGATACATAAAGAATATTGCACTCCTACCCACTATACATCTCTTGACCATGACATCACCTAGAACCAATATACTCTCTGAACACATCAAAGATGTACAGTGGTTAAATGCGCAGTTTGCCAACGATCAACAATAGGAATCTAAGTAATCAAACAAGTTAAAGCAGGAATATTGGAATAATGCTGTAATGCAGGGCTCGACAAATCACAGGCGCCAGGTAGCCATGCTGACTGTAAATTTTGCCTTGGTACCTGGGATGTCATCCCTTTAAGACGGCGGTAGCATAGGAGCCGCCTGCCTGCATGAGCATTGTAGGTGGCGTGCGAGTAAGCAGTAATCTACCTGCAGCTCCTCTCTGCTCCCATGTGTGTGTCTGTGTCAGTGTGTGTATCTCTCTGTCAGTGTGTGTATATGTGTCTCTATCAGTGTGAGTGTGTGTTTCTGTCAGTATGGGTGTGTGTGTGTCTGTCAGTGTTGGTGTGAGTCTGTCAGAAAGTGTGTGTCTCTGTGACTGTTTAGGTACCCGTCCCCCACCAATCGCAGCTTTTTTCCCCACGCCGTGCCTGTTTTGCCATGGCTGTGGCCGGTCAGTCATAATGATCTCAGCTAAGGGAGGATATTGCGCATGCGCGGCAAAACAATATGCCAATCAGCATCTCCTCATAGAGATGCATTGAATCTCCATACAGAGCATGGAGATGCTGAACGTAGGTGCTGCACACTGTGTAGCACTGCCCAAGGACTCTCTAGTGGCCATCTGAGTATCTGCTACTAGGCAGCAATGTAAACAATGCCTTTTCTCTGAAAAGGCATTGTTGACAATAAAGGTCTGCAGGTACAAGCTGACACCAGAACAACTACATTAGGCAGTACTGGTTCTGGTGTCTATAGTGTCCTTTAAGAATTGCATTTTTCTCATTGAAAATTAAACTTAAAATTAGTTTTTTAAAAACTGGCTCCTAACTTTTTCATCTGGCTCCTAGATTCTAAACAAATTTGTCAAGCCCTGCTGTAATGGGAAGACAGCAACATAACGAAAGGAGAATCCACAAGAGAACACCAATTGTCAACTGGAATTAATCAAGCCCATTGTTTTCAGAGACCACCAATAAAACTCTAGGTTTTAAACCTCTCCTTGCTTAAATGGTGTTTGCTGTTACAAACACAACCTTAAGTAAATAAAAAAAATCCCATGCTATATTCAGATGTGTGACTGCATATCTTGACCTTGCCCTACCAATTCCCAGGACATACCACCAGAAGTGTGGGTCTGTCACCTAAGAGAGGAATCATAGCTGAGACCATGCAATCCTCTGTCCATTCTTCTTCTTCCAGGCAGGTATCATCCTCTCTGCTTGCATTGCTTCAAACTATTTGGACAATAGTGTTAAAAATAAATGTATACATACATATGCACACATGCTTGAAGGTTATATGACAAGTTGACGACATTGGAAAAATTGTCAGTCTCTACAGTGATGTAAGTCATGTAATTGCCAATATGCAAAATATATATAACAGATAATGTTTTGGATTTATAAGTAAAATTCTGACAGCTTACCAAGCAATTAAGCTTTTTGCCTGGCTTTCAAATTAGGCTTCTTTATATACCTAAAACCTTTTCCCCAGATAGTAGTGCCTTTAGAATGCAAGCTCGTTTGGACCCTCTTCCCCTACTCTTTCCGTATATCACACTTATTTTGTTAGAATTAAATGTGTTTTGCTTACATGGTGTATAACTTTGTTGATTATGTTGGCGCCATATAAATAATTGTTCTGCTAGCCCAGTGCGAGCAGTGCTTAAGAGGCAAGTAAAAAACACACTTATCGCCTCAATACTTCTGCTTCTAGAATGATGTCCCCTCCCCATGATGCACTGGGCACATTCATTCACAT